GGGGGGCGCGGGCTGGGGAGGAGAGCGGGGGAGCGGAGCGGAAGGGGTCCGGGTGGAGCGCTGCGGGGCGGGGGCCGGCGGTTGCGGGGCTGGGGGCCGCGACCGCGAGCCGGGGAGGCGGTGGCTCCGATTTTAGCGAAATGCAGTCAATTAAGAGTTTTCATTAATACCACGGAAGGTGTAGAGGGCGGGCTTTGGGGTTTCTGAGGAAATGGGTCATTTGGCAAACTTTCTTTTTCCTACCATTGATTTCCGATTTTTTATAACGGGAAATGGGGTTATTATTTTGCCATAAAGAGAAAGAATAAAAAGAATTCCGCCATTTTGGCGTCTTAAAAAGTAACCGTTGCACGGAGTCGACGGGTCAGTGGCCGCCCCGCCTGCCGCCCTGTGCTGGTCCTCCGAGGGCCCGCACGCTGCGGTCCCGACCCGGGAGCTGGCTTGCCCCCCCCCCCCGCCCCCCGTCCCGGCCGCAGCTGCGGGGGGCTGGCCCCAAGTTTGTGGCGCTCAGTCTCGCGGGGGCTCTGAGTGTGTGTTGCTCCCCACCCCCACACCTAGAGCCAGGGCTTTTATTGAGCGTCGGTTGTATACGAGGCCCTGAAGGGCAAGCAGTTGGGAGGAACCTTAGCAGAGAGACGACGAGAAAATAAACAGGGACATACTCATTCAATAAATATTTATTGAGCATATGTTATGTGCCAGACACCGCTCTGGCCCAGGGACCCAAATGGCTATTTTAGGTCAGGTTCCCTGGAACCAGACTCTGGGAGGGAGATGTGAGTGCAGGTGTGCTGGAGTGCCCTTGCAAATATCACCTGTAGGACAGGGAAGACAGCAAGGTGCTGGGCAGAAGTTGAACAGCCAAGGTAGTCTCAACAGAGGCCTCAGCCTGTCCCAGGGGAAGCTCTGGAGCAGACAGGGCCCTGCTGAGATATCCCAAATTGAGGCAGGGGGGCGAGGCCTTTCCTCCCCTTATCAGCTGGTCTAACAGGATGGCTGCTTCCAGGAGAGGGCACTTGGGCGAGGCAGCTCCCCTGGCTGAGGGCAGTTCCCAGAGAAGCTGACAGCTGAGGGCTGCCCATGACAACCTTCAGGGCAGCTGGGACCTCCCACCTTAACCCTAGCCCCTGAGCAGCACAGCCCGGGGAAATCTAATTCCAGCCCCGAGGGCAAGAATGGCTAAACCTTTTATGGATCTCAGTACCACTGCTTCTTATAATGTTGACCACTTTTTACTCCCAGCTCTCTGATTCATTCATTCAGTGACAATTTGAGTGCGGCCTCTCTGTCAGGCTTTTTTGCACGTCAGCTGCTTTGTTCCATCTCTGGGGGAGACAGACAAGTTAATGCATAGTTAGACTGTGGTGGAGTGGAACACAGCCCAGGGGATGATTAACTTTGTTTGGGGGTGGATTCTGGGAAGGCTTCAAAGAAGAGGTGTCACTCAAGCTGGATCTTAGAGGATGATTAAGATTTCTCCAGACCTATGAGATGTGGAAAGGTACCAAGCAGAAGGAACAATATGTGCAGAGGACACAGGAGTGGGGTTCTGAGGGTGTGATCAGGCCATAAGGGTAGGAGTGGATGGGTTCCTGGCACATGGCTTGGGCCTGGGAGCCATTTCAGACTGGTTGTGCTGCTGTGTGTACCAAGCGAGACAGTGTTTATGAAAATGCTGCGTGAGCTGCAAACATAAGGGGTGGCAGCAGGAGAGGAAGAGTGAATTCAAATCACAGAGAAAGCAGTTACAGGCCTCAGAAAAACTCATGGTCTAGCTGGGGAGGAAGGACACAGAAGCAGTAGGTGCTGCGAGCCAGGAGCCCACAAGTACATGTGATGGGTCCCAACATCACAGGTGCACAGGATCCTCTTTCCTTCTGCATATTCAAAGACTTGTCTTCTAGAATTATTCTTTTTCCCCTGCACTGCCCATTTTTTCCTCTCCATAGGTTCATTTTCATCAGGTACAAACATGCTCTAACATCTCCTATTTAAAAACAAACCGACAAATCAAATCCCCCACGCCCCTTCCTTGAGACCACATCACTCTTCAAACACCATCCCCGAATTCCATGCGCTCTCCTTCACAGCACAGCTCCTTGAGAGAGCTGTCAGTCCCATTGTGCTCGCTTCCCTTTCTCCCGTTCTCCTGAGGAGCAAACCTTAGTGTCGGCTTCCCCCACTAGAATGTAGAGTCTGTGGCAGAGGTTTTTGTCTGTTTTGTCCACTGACAAATCTGCATTGCCTAGAACAGTACCTGGCGCATAGCAACCCAACCTTAGCCCTTATTTCTACAATATATGCTTCCTGAGAGC